GGCACATAACTCTGAAGTAATGAATTTAGGTAAAGGGGTGCAGAGCCAGTGTGATTTTGTAGACAAACATCAATGCCTTGAATTTTATGCGAGCAGCTATTGGTAGCCAGTGCAAATTGATAAACAGAGGTGTGACGTGCATTCTTTTCGGCTCGTTAAAAATGTATATTGCTGCCGCGTTCTGGATTAATTGTAGAGGTTTGATTGAACTGTCTGGAAGACCTGCCAAGAGAGCATTGCAATAGTTCAGCCTGGACAGAACAAGAGCTTGAACAAGGAGTTGTGAAGCATGTTCTGAAAGAAAGGGCCTGATCTTCTTGATGTTGAATAAAGCAAATCTGCAGGACTGGACAGTTTTAGCAATGTGGTCTGAGAAAGTCAGCTGATCATCAATCATAACTCCAAGGTTTCTGGCTGTTTTTGAAGGAGTTATGGTTGATATGTTTAACTGGATGGTGAAATTGTGATGAAACGATGGGTTTGCTGGAACCACAAGCAGTTCTGTCTTGGCAAGGGTGAGTTGAAGGTGATGGTCCGTCATCCAGCAAGAAATGTCTGTTAGACATGCTGAGATGCGAGCAGCTATCGTCGGATCATCAGGATGGAATGAGAGGTAGAGTTGAGTGTCATCAGCACAGCAGTGGTATGAAAAGCCATGTTTCTGAATGACAGAACCTAGTGACGCCATGTAGACAGAGAAGAGAAGTGGTCCAAGTTTAACCGGTGTAGTCTGCGTTGTGTTTTTTTATGCATTAATCAGACAGACATCAGATGATGGTTCGACTCTTCTTTAATCTGATAAGACATAAGAGTATGTATATACGGTGTGAATTTGCCCTTTTTCATTTCTGTAAGACGAATGTAAAGTACAATGTAATTAGCATGTGCTTCCCGTTCACATCGGACAGAAAAGTGACCAAACTTGATAAAAATACAAAAATAATAAAATACACATGAAAAACAATGTATTGTATATGATTTAGATGACAGATTTAAGTACAAAAGTAATTTAAAAGAAACAGATGTAATTGGATTAATCAGAGCTCATTAGAGAAACACCTCTCCCATGCAGAGAGAGTGCAGAAAAGGAAGAGGAGGAGCAAAGACAGGAAATTAGGATCAACATTGCAGTCAGAAATTTAAAGGGGAAGGTGCACACACACAGAGACAGGCATATCAGGTTCACATTTGAAATTGTTTTGTGTAATTCTATATATGAACATGATACTTTCTATACCAGTTACACAAGAACCAAGCCCTGAGGCACCCCAGTAGTTATAGCGCTTTTCCACTGCGTGGTACGGCTCGGCTCGACTCAGTACGGCACGGCTCGATTTGCGTTTCCACTGCAGTTTAGTACCGCTTTAGCGTTGGCGGGATTATTCACATGTCGTTATAGTTGCCTCTACTGCCGCGACTCCTGAAAAACTTTTTCATTCTGCGTCGCCCCATCAAGCTCTCGCTGGATCCGCTCCTCTGCTATCAACCAGAGGAACGTCTGTACTTCCTCAACAGACAACGAAACAAAAAAGGTGCGCTCGTTCAAAACGGTTGCGTTCGATTCTTCGCTGGCTGTGCTGATTTAAATCTAGCAGTTCTGTTGTGTTT